TCTGCCATGGCAGATCTCCTGGAAATTACTTCTTCCAACTTTGGACCCCTGTCTTTTATAAACAAGAGAATATGGTTGAAGTGAAATTATTAGCATTCATTAATTTGTATTTATTTAATATAAGATTTATAATAGTGCACATATCTAGAAAATCGTAAGGTGCTGGATATGTGCACTATATAAATCCTATATTAAATACAACATTTTTTTACTGGTCATTGAATAAAGAATCAATAATACACAACATGCAACCATCTTCGCTCCCTGGGCATTATTCCTAGATGCATGTAATCTGCGAGTACTACTGTACTGATTCCATTCCAATCATTCACCTCCTACCAGGTTCACAATATACTCCTGGGGTTTAGAGAGCTAATGCAGATAAAGTGTCTTGCCCAAGGATTAGTGGCGGCTCTAGGAGATGTGTATAAGAGACAGGGGCTAAGCTGCCCGACAGGGGGACTTGGGGTCATAGGCCCAAGCTGGAAGAAGATTTTGAGAGGGTGTTCCCCCTCCCAAATGATATTGTTTTAAGAATAGGAACCTCTGGATGGCCAGAAATGACACTCTCTGATTGCGACAGACATGTGTTGACTTGGCGTGGCCTATTTTTATATATTTTTTAGTCCAACTGCCTAACGAGCTCTGTCTGCTGGCACCGCCGCTGCAAAGGATAGCAGTGTGATGATTGAAAGCCCCACACCTTACATGATGGGATTAGGTTTATACATTACTAAATACATACCATGTTCTGAGGAATCTGTTGTGCAATCAGCAGTGTTCCCCTTGAAATCCAATTTTGTATCATCATCCTGGTTCAATTTTGTGTAAACCACAGAGGTTGAACACTCTTTACTTTGACAATTGTTTTCAAACTTGTCTTCATTATGTCTTAAGAAGCAATCTCGTCTCCCACCTTCTTCAGACATTCGAAAATTTGGAAAATTACTTAATCGCATATGGTCATTCTCAATGATTGAATGCCGAGATGGGGAGATCAACAGTGCTGAATTGTTTCTGCAATGCGAGACAAGTACAGAGGTGCTGTGATGAGACTGCTGTGAGAGTTGAGGTAACGTAACTCCATGTGAAAATGGACGTATCGTAGAAGAGGTTTTCTGATCTCTAGTATTACCTATATCAAGTCCATAATTAGAAGTTGCTGGCTGACACAGTCTTGTGGCCAATCCATTACCTCTCAGCGTAAACATGGATGGAGCAGAAGTAAATGACGTAGCTGATCCTATTCTCTTTGTTGTGTAGCCTAATATTCCAACAGTTGCGCCGCTCATAATGTACGAGTTATTGGCTAATTCCAAAAGTTCTATTTCAAAAATCTTTTTTTTTGTCAATTTGTAGACACGATATATGGCTTGGCCTAGCTTATGGGCTACTGAATTTTATCAACTTCAGACTAAGTAATGATGATTGATAACAAATGTTTCAAGAGAGCAAAGTCCATAAAAAAAGATAAGATTAAAAAAAAAAATGAATCAACAATTATTTGGTTGCACACATGGTTAAAGAAGATGTAGGCAACTCAGTAGTCCTTTTGGCAGGTTTAGGCATAAGCCTAGCTTAGAAAACATACGCCCGGCCCGGCCCCCCACTGTTGTTGTGTCTCGTCCGATATGTAAGTGGAGGCATGGACTAGGCAATACTGCTGTTAAATGCCCATGCGACAATGCCTAGCTGAGCACTAGCCAAACGGTAAAAAAGGGTAGCCTAGCTAGGCCTCCTACACTGACTACTGTAATATAATAGTATAGTTTTTCTACACACTCCCGTGTCCGACGGTATGCTGAAAATTAGCCGGAAAATCGCCTTTATTATGCTAGTCGATTATTTGTTTTCTTTGTCTCTTGAACACACATCAGTTGTTTATACTTGTTTCCTTTTTATAACTTTCATAAGCAGAGACATTTTCATCGACCACGTACCGGTACACTAAACACAGTTGTGAATACCTAGGCTATCCTGACTTTGTTTATGTTTTGACTGTAGCTAGGAAACATGAATATTCATTAGAAATTTGTTAACGCCTCTTTTTGATATCAAATAGATTCGTTTTCATTATAGTTTTGCACCATATAAAAATTAAAATGTTATCTTAAATAATATTAAAATAAACATTCAAATAATTAATTTTATTTGTATGCAACTTTTTTAATTTAATTAATTTATTTCTCAAAAGGTCTTAAGGAAACCGATACTAATGACGTGTAAGTTCAAAGGGTACAGATGCCATGTGTTTTTTGTTGAACATTGTATCGCGAAGGAAAAATGAGGCCTTTAACAGAAGAAGAGACGAAGATTTTCTTTGAAAAACTTTCTAAATAGTAAGCTTTTCATACACTTAAATAAACATGGCAGTTTCATCACAGGGTCAGATTAAGTGTGTAGGGCTAGGCATAGCTTGTTGTTAGAATAATAGAGCCTAGGCTAGCAGGCTACGTACGGGAAGTGAAGAAATTTATAAGTAGGCCAAGGCTAGCTACTATTGGTATTAACTAATGCTAGCCTATATATTACAGTTACTACACTAGTTTAGGCCTAGTGTACTTCTCTAGGTTTAGGCCTATGTTATCCCTCTTCTCTGGACTGTCTCATCATAATTGGTAAACAAAAAGTAAATAACCTAGGCCTACATATAATAACGGCACATAAACAAATTATCAGATATCACTTTCAATTTGTTTTTTAAAAAGAATTGTGAGGGCGGGTTTTTTTTATTTATTTAATTTTTTGGGTGGTGGTGGGATTATACCCGGGGATTCCTGTGTGCATGAACAGAACAAACATGACATCGCATTAATTTTTTGTGTGGAACTGAAAAAAAAATCTAATTTCAGTCTTATTTTACATTTTTTTCATGTTTAGGAATGTCTAAACTCACTTCAACTAGCAATTTCGTATTACGTTTATAATTCTTATACAGTATACATATATAAAAATCAGATTTTTCTTAACTTAAATTTGCCGGGAATGGGGCTTTAAACAAGTGATATGATAATATATTCAATTCCACTGTATTTTTTTATCTAGGCCTACAGTATAATAAAATCCTTCACTACTATTTGTAACAGTATAGTATATAGTATAGTATATTTTTCTAGTTCTATGAAGCTTCGTTTTTAAATATATTTAACAGCATCGGTGAAAACATCAAGATGTTGATTGATCGTCCTGATGGGACTTACTGCTTCCGTTTCCATAGGGAGAGGGTTTACTATGTGAGGTATGCTATTTAAAAGATCAGCATTTATAGATAAATAATATTAATATTATTAATTTTTTCATTTGTCTGTTTATACCGTACTCGCACGAATAAGCGCCCCATTTGAAGAAGCGCCCCTCTCAAATAAGCGCCCATCCTAACTCAAAAATTTCCTTAAGTGCCCCGTTTGAATAAGCGGCCACTTCTAATTTGAATAAACGCCACCTCAATAATATTATAAGATTTTTTTTTTAGCAAGTCAATAATCCAATCCAATCCTGGAGCTGTGGTTGTTGGCATGATTTGAGCTGCAGAGTGGAATAACATTCTTCTTTGGTCAATATAAAATGAGGATGTTTCTCTTGGACCGATGAGAGCTCCGATCCCTGGACAGTATATTCTCAATTTTTCTCTTCTTATATATTTGTCTAGGCCTAGTCCAACTCCTCTTTTTCTTTTTCTGACAATTTGCACCTCTAGGACATTCTCATCTGAGTTTTCAAGTAAACCTGCAATGATCCTGCCATCCTGCTAATCTCAGTTGGCCGATGGCCAACAAGCTAACCATTACCCACCACCGCTAATTGCATCTGCTAATTCTGCTGTTATGTAAATATTCAAAGCATTCTTGTCATGAGCCATGTTCTCTGGAGGATTATCTTTTCCTCCGCACCACCATTTGTAATGTTCTTATATACAGTAATAATTTTTCATTCAAAAAGTGCCTCTTGAATTTAATAAGTTCCCATAACAACCCCTCGATTTTCATCTATTTCCATAAGCGCTCCCTCAATTTCCACTCTGTTTTTTAATAAGCGCCCTGTTTTAATAAGCGCCCCCTTTGAATAGGCGCCCCTCAGAAAGTGCAAAAAATATTGTAAGCGCCCAGGTGCTTATTCGCAAGAGTACGGTACATTGTAACAAAATTTGTCAATCATGTTTTTTAATTGCGCAGACGTTACCTCAAAAACTAGCTAAAGTTTGTGTGGCAAAATCAATAGAAAAATTGGTGCGCACATTCGTAATTACTTACACAATACATTAGTTATATGTTCAGATTAGGTTAAAGCTACGTTCACATCAAGCCCGGAAAAAATCGTGAAAAATGGGTTCAGTGGTAAAGAATAAGACCGTTCACATCAAATTCGTACGATTTCCAATCCGGACTCCGCATTTGGACCGATGGATCTGAGAGCCATTTGTATCCTGAAATCGTACGTTTTTTTCTTGAACCAATCAGCAACAAGCTTGGTTGGTTCCAACCAATTGAACGCATACGTACTTAACCCGAACAACCGTGTTCCGTGCGCGATGTGAATGCAGCATTCAGAAAACGTAGCAACTAACGATTTTTTGTCCGGGCTCGGACCAGATCCGGGCTTGATGTGAACGTAGCTTAAAGCCTAATTTTCAGCAAAATCTGTGTGGAAATCAGTCCTTATTTTCCGAAATGCACTAGGGCAAATTTTTGCGCTGCGGATCTATTCCCCATGCAGGCCTTAATTTACCGTGTGATACCAGTATATAATTTATGTGCATGTACTTAAAAAGCACATTCCATTACATTTGTTTAACTCTACTATACAGTATTGTCTATAATGTTTCCTCAAGTTTGTATGTTACAGAAATCTTTATTTATTTGTGATTAATTATCATGTTCCAGTGAACTCATCATGAAGAGGGCAGCTAACATCAGCAGAGAGAATTTAATCAGCTTTGGATCCTGTTTTGGAAAATTTACAAAAACAATGAAGTTCAGGTTACATGTGACAGCATTAGATTTTCTTGCACCGTATGCAAAAGTAAGTTGGTAGGGTAATAATTTTGTAGTGTGTACTGTATGTTGGGTAACAGTGGTGTTGGCAGCGTTGGTAAGTTGTTGGTATGTCGGTAACACTGAAATTCAGGTTGTGTGTGACACCATTAGATGTCCTTGCACCATATGCAAAAGTAAGTTGGTGAGGTGTACTGTAGGTTGGGTAATTTAGTTGGTGTGCAGGTTGGTACTGTAGTGGTTTTGGCAACGATGGCAAGTTGTTGGTATGTTGGTAACAATGAAACTCAAGTTATGTGACAGCAGATTTCCTTGCAACATTTACAAAAGAAAGTTGGTGTAGTAGTCCGAAGTTTGGGTGTTCGGTTCAATTCGTCCCTTCTCATGAAAAGCCATGTGAAATCTGTATGTTTCTTAGCAGTCTTGGGTATTAGAAAAATCGGCAGCATCCGTAAATTTCTGGACGATAGGTTTGCTGCAACACTGGTCCATGCATTTGTAACATCGAGGCTGGATTATTGCAATAGTCTACATTACAAACTTCCTAAATCGTACATTTTAAAATTGCAACATGTCCAAAATACCGCTCCACGACTTTTCTCGCGCTCCAATTCTTACATTGCTGACCATTACAGTAATTAACAAATTTTTTTGAAGATCCTACTACAGTACCTACATACAAGTCTATACAGAATCTTTCTCCATCGTATTTATCAGAGATCATCATTCTCCACTCATCTACCGGCGCGGAAACTTAGATCATCATCAGAGCTTAATCTTGAATTTCCTAAGGTGAAGATGAGTTATGGTGCTCGCTCTTCTGCCCCAAAATTTTGGAATGGTCTTCCTCAACATATCAGATTGGCTGATTCTATTGAGTCTTTCAAAACCTTTTTTAAAACCTTTCTTTTTAACAACACAGAATTCTCATGATTTGTCTCCTCATCTTGAAAGCCTTTAGAGCTGAAGAATGTGCTATCGTTTATTGGGTGTCCAGGGCTGGGCCTCAGCTGTTCCTTACTCAAGACAACGGCGTTGTCTTTTGCAGTGCACGGTAGTAGAGGCATAGACTTATTCTAAGGTGGAAGCTACCGGAACCCAGCATACTGCCTAATAGAGCACCACTCTGGTGTGACAGCGACATTGTTTCAACATCAGTGGGTAGAGCCCTGTTATGGATACCTATGCCGATAGTGCTCTTGGTTTAAGTAGAATTTATTTATTGCTTGTGTTCCTTTGCTGTAAAGTGCATTGAGGCTTTTTGTGGAATGAGCTTTAAAATAACTGATTTATTATTATTATTATTATTATTATTATTATTATTATTATTATTAGGGTGGTAAGTTAGTGGGTGTCTAGGTTCATATTGTAGTGGTATTGGTAGCGATGGTAAAGTTGTTGCCAGTATGTTGGTAACAATGAAATTCAGGTTTCGTGACAGCCTTAGATTTCCTTGCAACATTTTCAAAAGTAAGTTGGTGTTACTAGTAGGGTGGTAATTTAGTGGGTATGTAGGTTGGTACTGTAGTGGTGTTGGTAGTGATGGTAAGTTGTTTGTACAGTATGGGTTATAGATTAATAGTTTTAAATATTGATAGCAATGGTACACACTGTTAGTTCAAGGGATTTGTTAGAAGGGAGGGGTAGGTAGGTTACATAGGCAAAATACATACCGTAGCCAGTTCGCAAAATACAGTATGTAGACAGTAGTGTTGATGCCGCTGGCGATAAAAACTACAATGGCCAACCGTGAACTGCAGTACTCAGTATTTGGTATTTATGATAGTACAATGTTAAATATTCTTTTGTATTTATAGTAAGATAATAATATTAGTAGGAAAAGTGCGTGAACAGCACATGTTAAAAACTAAAAAATCCCAGCCAAATAATGGACTATTTTTCATTAGTGATTTACTGTGGTAAAAACGACACAAGCAGCACCACACTACAAGTATTTTCTAGTTATAAAATTTTATGTTTAATATCTCTTCAAAATTATTTTGATAAGAAGTAAGAAAAGAAAAAAAATTGTAGATTTTGTAATTTGAAGTATCACTTTGTAAAATGAGCCTCTATCTTTTATTGTTTATCTTTTGCAAAGAAGTCATAGAGTGCTATATTCTCACATAATGTTCTCAATTTCATTACATATCAAAATTAAAATTCTAGTCCAGAGCACCTCTTTAAACACAGGGTATTTCAGCTATTACAAAATGATAAAAAGTTATTCATTTGAATGTAAAGTACATTTTCTTTGCTGTTAGTTCAAAGTGTGGGTGAAGCCAGGCTCAGAGCAGTCCTTCCTGTATGGAAATCATGTATTGAAAAGTGGCCTAGGAAGAATTACAGAGAACACTGCAAAATATCAAGGTGTCATTGTATATTCAATGTCTGATATTCCACTGGTAAGATCATTATTTGCTTGAATATTTAAACAATTTTAATGTATTGTTCATTGCTTCAATTTCTATTGTCCATAGAAGATCATTTCAGTTGCGTCCAATTTTGTTTTTTTTTTGTTTTTGTTTTTTATAAGTATTCATATATTTGTGAAAATAAATGCCAATCTCTTCTCAAGCATGAATGCCCTAGCATAATGTAGCTGACTTGTTGATCAAGTCCTTACCAGCATTCATTGTATTATGTAAACCTTTTGATTTATAAGACTGATGTGTTGCCCTACCTGACAAATACTCAGTACGTTCCCAAATACTATACTTGTGAATAAAATTTGCAAGTTATTCAGGTGAGAATGTAACCTACAACCTCCAGATAACTAGCCTGGTGTTCACTAGACCACAGAGTTTCTGCTTTGTGACTAGTGTTGAATCCGATCCACAAGTTGCCCATTAAAATGCAAGTTTATAATTATTGTTTAATGAAGTTTATGGGTACTTAATAATACAAAATTTAGAACTGAAACTTAGTTTCTGTGGTAATCCATTCCATAATTATAGAGACTATGGAAATATCTTTCTGATGTGATCTGGTACATGAGCAATATGAATACTATGGTATACTGTATGTATTTTTTTTCCCATAGGGATTTGGTGTAGCATCAAAATCAACTCAGGAGTGTAGACACACAGACCCTATATCAATTGTTGTTTTTCATCAAGCAGATATTGGAGAGTATCTTAGAAACGAGGAAACATTGACTTGAACACCAACGTATAAAAAAACTGATAAACATCTGAGCAAGTTGTACTCTATTCAAGGATTAAACATCAGTGACTTCTGCTATAGACAGATCCAATTAGAAGAGGGCGCTCTCCACTGGCACCGCCATTGCTGGGGACATCCTTTGGCCCTCCTGTGTGCATGTCAGGTAGATTATGATAAAAACAAAATACTTAATGTACTATAGATCTGAAATGTACATTTTATAGCAGATGATGCATAAAAATCCCCCACTGAATCCTCAGCTATGGCATCTGTAGAGGGCGATTAATTACTCTGGATCGATCAGTCTATACTCAACACTGATGACAACTGAATGTTATAATTTTGTAATAAGCATCTCTCCTAGCTCTCTACTTCAATCAAGCATTATTCACACCTTCTTTGTTTCAAAGGAAAACAATAGATCACCGACAATTACCAACTCTATTTAACACCAACATAAGTCGTCTTTTATCATTCTCCTGATGACGGTCAGAGCAATCTTACCGAAACGTCGAGACAACCAACCAGTGGTTTTTACCTTTAATAAAAACCATATTCTTTTATTTTATTTTACACATGGTGTACCGAAAGTTTGTTTTATGTTTATTGATATTCGCCATGCAAACCTTCAAGAAATATTAAGCATCCATTTATTATAGCATCCTGGACTGATTTATCATTGCATAAGCTAATATTGAATTTGTGGATATTACAGCACAACATCAGTGATGGTTAGCTACTGTCTGTATCGTCAAACACGTGCCGACCAATCTCGGCCGGCCATCCTTAGATTCCCCAATTTGCATTGTTGACACACTGTGAAATGGATCAAGCTATGTTTTAGTTGAAGCTTCAAGTATTTCATGGCATATACATTAAACACTGTATACCGTAAATGCTCAAATAAGCGCCACGGAGCTTATCAAATTTATGGAGGCTTTAGTGCGGCGCTTATTCAAGAGTGGTGCTTATTCTAGAGCAGTGCCTATATAATAATATTGTTGTGCTATTTTCAAAACCCATGCCATGTTCACAACCTCGCTCATTCCCTTAGTTCAGTAGGCCTACCGTAGGTCCCACGTTATCATAAATAATTGTTTATATAAAGAAATGCTTGTGTCTTCATTGTGTTATTAGTTAGTCATTTTAACACTGTATACATTGTATTTAAAACCTTGTTTCTCAAAGTGTTTCATTACACAGAGGGTAACTCTCGATTAAGTGCCGCAGCGATTATTTGGTAGTGGCACTTAGCTTTGAAAATCAAGTTTGGTGCGGCCCTTATTTAAGCATTTACAGTAATGTATGTTTGGGGTTGATTTCAATAAAAAGAAAATCGTACTCAATTACATTCGCCCTTGGACGGTTTTGCTAATGGGCATCACAAAGTGTGTTCTTGTCGGACAGGTTGTTGCTGCAGAGGTCGTTGCATTTAGTGTAAAAACAGCACTTTTGTATTAATTGACTAGCATTTACTGGACCACAGCATTTTTGCTGGCAGTTCAACAAAAATATGTATTACTGTATATACATGGCCTTTTCTGCTAATGTGGGAAAAAATTACTCAATACCCTATTTTGACAGGGGAGCAACAGTGGCGTAACGAAAGGGTCTGAGTCCCCTGTAAGCGATCAGACGCTGATGGCCGGGGCTGCCAAATGGCCCCTAGTGGGGGTTTGTGGCGTTTTTTGCGTTCTATGACGTATTTAAAAAAAAAAAAAAAAGAAGCATACTGGATCTTAATTTTAACTTAAAGTTATCACTAATAAACATATTACAATAAATACCACTATACTTAATGATTTGCCCTTTTATTAGGTAGTAATTAAAATAAAATATCGGAAAGAATAGTTTGTAAAATGAAATGTAAAAAAAAAATGATTGGGAATTCAATGGAAAAATAAGGGTACGAGCATAACATGTACGAACGAACAGGGAAAGAATTGTATCTTGAGGAAGGGGAAGGAAGGTAAGGAAAAACAAAGGAAAAGAAAGGAAGAGAAGCAGGCGCGGATCTAGAGTTCATATAGACTATCGCACAGGTCATGGCCCCAGATCTTCATACTTACAATTGTGACGTAGGCCTAGAGGGCGGGCTCGTGAGCGAAGAGAGCGTAACATTTTATGGTTCTGTCAAATAGAAAAACAAATGTTGGATGAATATATTCAACCTGGGTTGAAATTGGGCAAAATATGCTATAGAAAACGAATATCATCGCACTCAAAGTTTCAGACTTTAGAAAAAATCTATACAAAAACCATAATATATTCAAACGCCACCACGGACAAATCCAAACAAGCTAAGCGAACCAATATTGTTTAAAACAATTAGGAATTTGCGATGATGTTAAAATAATTATACAAATTAAATCTATACAGAATATGTCTGCTTTATCAATGAATTGTGTTCATTCAAATATATACTTGAATTCGTGGGAGAAAATACAAATAGGCCTACAACAAACGACTTACCATGCAATGAGGAAAATTAATGTGAAAACGCTTTGTCTGAGCTCTACAATATCGTTAGCTTAAAATAATGGATATTTTAAGTCGGTGTCAGCCTATCAATACAATTATTGTTATAGATTTATTGGTATAGATTTTAAAAGAAAATCTAATAAAATATTATCACTTTTCACACATCCGTCAATGTTTAGCCACCAATGACGGAATTTCTGATTAAATGAACAAAATAAATATATGCTACAGCTGTTGTCTGATCATCTATCACCCACGACTAAAACCATGAGATGTTTTAAAATTTAATTATACTATTATTTTTATACTTTATAACCGGTCAGGAGCTTTTTATTCTGGCACAATAAGGTATCACAGGGAAAATTTCAAAGTGACACTGGAAAATCCGACTTCCTAAGAATTTGTTACTCTCGGTACTTCAAAATGCGCATTATCATTTGCGGATACAAAGCGTTAACTACCCTCCACTGTAATCAATATTCCCTCAAGTCTTACAGCCCATCCCAACCAAAACCAACAGAGTAGGCCTATAGCTGTTTTATGAATCAAAGACGAATTAAAGTAAGTCAAAGGTAATGGAGGGTAAAGAAAAAAATAAATGGATAGAAAGAAAACGAAAAGAACGCGGCTACTAATAAGATTTTGTCTAAAATAACCACGGACGATCTGCAGAAATAACACTGACATTAAAAAATGGTTTTTGAAGTGTGTGTATTAATTTTTTATTAATAAATATATATTTTTTTAAATATAAGACTATCAGCATCTGTTTGAAACATAATAGCAAAATATGCTATTATTTCTTTAGCAAACAAATGTCATCTCACTCGAGATTTCAGACTTTTAACAAAGAAACGGCTATGAAAAATTAAAATGTGGTTCCCTTATAAGAAAATCCCACGCATATTCCAAATAGGCTTAGATGAGTGAAGCAATATTTTGATTGATTTAAGAATTATTAAAGAAATTCAAATTAAATGGATATTCAGTTCAGTATCAGCATATATTGTTCAATATCGATTCTAAAGACAATCCAAAATATGGATTCTAAAAGACAATCCTGTTTGATTGAATTTAATGTTTCAATGACTTTAAATAGACCTACAGCTGTTTTCTGATCTAACACCTACAACTAAAATTTTGAGTTACTATATTTTATATACTTTAACCGGTCAGGAGCATTTCTGGCAAACAATGCCGGTATTATACTAGGGGTGGGGAGGGTTTGAATGTATCACCGGTATATCCGGCTTCGTAAGAACATTGCTATTTACAAAGAAAAAAAACAAACAAACAAAAACAAAAAAATTCCGAAAAAGATGATGTATTATTATTCTACAGTTTTGTAAAATAATTCTTAAGTAACCTATTCTCAGTACCATACAATAAATGCTTATTATTCAGACCATGTTTTTCATATTAGGTTGCTTTCGATTAATTACAGCCCCTTTTAAATAAACATTGTTATTCATTAAGTTACAGTCACTTTTATATTTTTTATTTTTATCTCTCACCCAGACCTTCGCCATAGCGAACAATGCGAAAGTTTGGCTCCTCTCCTGGAAAAGGATAGAAAATGAAAAGAAAATGGAAATGCAAATGGGAATTAATGAAAAGTTAGAATTGAAGGAGAAAGAAACAAATAAATAGAACGCTCGCTAAAGAAAACATACAAGAAAAAGAAAAGAAAGGTAAATAAAGAAAGGAAATGGAAGAAAGAAAAGAAAGTAATAAAATAGAAAGGCACAATAATAAAAGTCAGAGAAAGAAAAGAAAGAAGAAGGAAGGCAAAAAATGGATTGAAATTGAATTACAAGAACGAAAGATTGGAAAGAATAAGAAAGAAAACGGAAAATTAGAAAGGATTAATAAAGAAAACGAAAGATTGAAAAGTAATACAAAAACCAAGGAAATGAAAAGAATAGATAAACTACTTAGAAATTAAAGGTTGAAAAGGGATAGAACAAAAAGGAAGAGAAGTCAAGGTATAAAAATAAAAAAAAGAGTGAAACGAAACGAAATGTTGGAAGGGGATAAAAAAAAACAAACAAACAAACAAGGTATAATATAATGAAAGGAAAGAAGTAAGTAAAGAATAGATAGAATAAAGGAATTAAGAGAGAAGAGGGAAAAAGTTAAGGATAATAGATAATTAAATAAGATGTCCCCGACGAAAAAAAGTGGGCGTGGTTGGGCATCGCGTCGAAGGTGTTCGGGGGGAGGGGGTGGGAGGGGCTTTCCCCTTAAAACTTTGACAATTTGGGGGTTTCAGGCTTATTTAATCGATTTTGGGGTCTGCTAATGTAGAAAACATATTTCTTTTTCTCCCGCCGAATTGTGGTTTTTCTCCCCGACGGGGAGGGACAAACTCACCCCGACGAGAGACCTGATTCCCGACTCCCCCGCTGGCGCCACCCCTGGCTGCCCTTCATGCTACAGAGGTTCTAAAGCTTTGTCTACACTATCAAATTGTATGTGACAAAAAATGTGATATCCCCATATATGGGTACGATGACGTCATATCAAAAAAATTTGAACGTGTCTTTCAAATCTATGTTCCATCAAATATGAAGCTTTTTTGATGAAATTTGATAGTGTAGACAAAGCTTTAAACGTAGTCCTTCAATACAGTATTTTAACTGTTAATGAGCAGCTGTCAGTGACTTGTTTACGAGAAGTTTCATTGAATACTATCAAGAATTACATCAAAAAACTGTTACTGACGGCGTTCTAGATAAAATTATGGATGCGGATTATTTTCATTAATAATAAAAATCCCTCTTAACTTTAAAGCGTTTAAATATCCAAAATCCAACAAATTCCTTCAGGAAAAAGCAATGTATGAGCATAGAGAAAATATTTTCTCTATGGTATGAGAGGTTTCATTAAATAAATCCAAGAATTACATCAAACAACTTTTACCTGTGGCGTTCCATAGGTGGAGGATTATATTATCATAATCCCGATCATAATAAACATCCGTCTTAACTTACCGTGTTGAAATTTTGTTTTGTCTAGTTATTATCCCTGTGGCCATTTCTTTTTGTTGCATAGGCCTATTTATTTAAAAAAAACTCGATTTTGCTTTGTTATCTATATTTATCTAACGTAAACCTTGTTTGTCAAATTTAAATATAGGCCTATGTTTATTTTAATATGTGGCAAAGACATGACAACCAGTCTCTCGTCGTTTTCAGCAGCGTCGTGTTCAGAGATAATGGCCAAAACATGCTGGACGTCACCTTCATATGATTCTTTACCATTGTATAGCTCCCAGTTTACTGATTAACCCTGTAATGTTAAAGATATATGATAGTTTAATTTTCATTTGCTATTCTTTTGTCTTTTATTGCATGCACTGTGATCACCAGCTCCGGCTGGATGGACAACCCTCACAAAATATTGTTGAAATAAATAAGATAAATAAATAACATTACCGATAATCGGTTCTCGTAGGCCTATCACTAATTCACGGTCCTAAAGAACACTATATCAATCCACACTACTGTTTGACGTTAATTGCAAATGAAGTTACGTCAAACTAAGTGTCCACTCGAGTATCCAAGTTTGTTACGCCAATGACTTAAAAACCGTAACTGCCGGTATTCATAAGTATTTTATTTACTCTTTCTAGAAGGATGCTTTATTTGTTATTTTATGCATCTCTACTGTGCATCAATGGCGGCGCTGGATCTCAATAGAGATTCTTAAATAATATATAAATTTGAAAGGCAAATGGGAAAAACCCAATAAACAGCAAACGGCCATATAATGCAAAACAACTTAAAATTAAAATTAAAACGGAACTGTAGAGAAAATCCGATCAGAATGACAAAATAAACTGAGCATCCACTGGAAGGAATCCCAATATCTCTTGTACTATAGGCAGATAGGCTGTAATATAGCCTTTATACATTCTTACAAACTATTTAAAAATACTTTTTTTAGCCTAAAATCGCAACTTTAAACGCAATTTTGGTATTTTACTTTTGTCTTCCGTTTACTGTTTTCTTTTAACTTAGTAGGCCTACTTTCTGCTAAGTTTTTTGCTTGATATGTAGGTCAATAATCTTTTATCTGTCTTAATTGATTCTTGTTTCAATGCTTTTGGTTTTTAGGCAGTTTTAAGTCATTTGTGTACGTATTGTATAAATTGTTATCTTTTGGAATTCAGCAACGACGGTGCTATTATGTTTAATTCAGTAAATTTGAATTTAAAATTAATTTGAACAAAGTTTGTAGAGGCGCTCATACTGAAATGTTTCCCACACAATATCAATCAATATAACAACAGTTTCGCCACCTGCCTCACCTAATTGTTGCCTCAGTCAAAATGATATTCTAAGGATACTAATGAGTACTGGTACAAATTTTCTAACACACTCCTAAAAAATGTAAATGTCTTGCTTAGTTAGTAGTATACGATTTCCAAAGCTTAAACGAATCAATCTCACAAGCTTACATTTTGAATTTTGGTTTGTAAATTATATAGAATCTATTCTGCACTTTTTTAAAGCTCTGTTTCCATACAATCGCTAACCCATGGTGACAGTAGCCGAAGTCGTCAGGGTTCAACTTTGCCGATTGCGTTGCAGACGAATCGGGTGCCTTCGTCCCATTGTGTCGGGGCAACTAGCAATGCATCCTGATTTTCCCCCAACCCAATCGGCAAAATTGAACCCGGTTGAACCTTCCTGACAGCTGTAGGCGACTGTCGCTGAGGGTGAGCGATTACATGGAAAGCGAACTTTAAGCACTTTTAATAACGAATTTATGATCCAAATAGATGGTGTTTTAATGGGTTGTTCACTGGGACCCGTCCTATATGCTACCCTTTTCATGTGGAACACCATGAAAAGTCTTGATTAAATACATGCCAGCCTTGTCATTTTTTGACCGACGTTATGTTGACGATGATTTTTGCCTTTTCAATTCTGAATATGATGCTAAAATTTTTGAAAATCTTTAAAATGACATCAATTAGATTAATAAAAAAATTATTTTTATTTATTTATTTATTTATTCACCAAAACAACAGCGGACACAAATCCGCCAATAATAAAATAACAACAACAATGCGCTTGAGTCATGCCAACAAGACCCCTGAACGCATAGGCCTATTCATAGATAGACTACCGTATGAGGAAAAAATAAAACCAAAATTCCCTTTCTTGACATTTTTTTTTAGATAACTCTGATCATAACTCATTAAGAAAATCAGTCAATCACACACCGGCTTGCTAACGAATTTCCATATAGCTTTACAGTACGTCACACACATATAATTTTGAACTCCATACGTATCTATTGATCGTATTGTTAAAATCTATAATACTTGGTAGGCTTTCATTAACGATTTAAAAAGCATATACTGTACTGTATTTACTTTACAAAAAAAAAATTAAATAAAAATAACTAAACAAAATAAAAACTGTTATTCAATATATCAATATTAATAAAACATTACATATTACCGTATCTGAACAAAAACTATCTCCCTTGGGTCGTCCTCCTAAAACGCAACCTTATAATAGGCCTATATGAAGTTATATCCCATTATTGCCAATGGAAATGGTCAAAAATTATTGCTCTGTATTAAACTATGACTTTTAAATCTTATAAATTATCTCATTTGTTTTAATGTAAAAGACCATGTCCCATTCAATCTCTATTCCCGCTTAAATTTAGGCCTACTTGTAACTCGTACTTAGTTTTGGCGGAACCAATAATAATCACCTGGTACACATGCAAAGGAGCATTGATTCGAGGTTCAGTCCTCACACATTTTTCAACACCTATTCAGTTACATGTAATAAACACATCAGACTGAGCATTCTTGATTCCGCCAAAAATATCAATATAATAAGCCATTTACTGTACGTCAACAAAACTCGTTACAATCACTATCTCAATTATCTATAATACAAGTAGGTCTACGGCATCCAGTGGTGACGGACTGCGGAGGGGATGGCATTATTTTGCCAATCCCTAATAATGTGGTCGAAAATCACATTTTTGTCTAATTAAGAAGCCATAAAAGCTCTCCCCGTGAACTCTATCAGGGATTTTTATTCCGGACCTGACAGGTAGTCGTCCCCTTCGCTCCCGGTAGGACATATCAGACCCCTGTCGGCAAATTTCGGGAGCCGTCACTGGGATTTACCACCACAGTATTAGGCTATATACGACTTTGTACAGTATTGTCTATTTGACATACATACTGTTTGACGGGCAGTTAAAACAAATACGGTAGTTTTGTGTGTATCATGTCTAAATATGTCGTTTTTTAAAATCTAATAATATTTTGTTTCTATATTTATTGCGGCTCACTACACTTTATTGACGTTGTGATTTTGTCTTTTAATTGTTTTGTTGTGCAGTTATTTTTTTTTCAGGCCCTTAATGCATTTTACTGGTTTGCATTATGACGATTTACCGTAATCGTAGTAATTTTATGTTAATATCCAATTCAGCAATTTTGCTGAGAATTGTTTTTAATTTCTATTATTATGATCATCTAAAAAAAAAAATAAAACCTCGAATAGGGTTGGAATTGCAACCTCTACATATTAAGGCGGGAGTCTTACCGCAAGACCACAACAACCATAGCACCACCAGCCTGTTTGCTTTCACACATACCGTATTGTTGTTGATGGTTAATAGCTAAAAACTACGGTAAAGGTCGCAATGTTTGGACAATGTTATGGGCACTTCCGTGATAAGTCGGAAAATATAAGGCACATAGCCTCTCCCATTTATTAATGCCAAAATGGGGGAAACACATTTTCTTTTTATACTGTATAATGCGTATGTCCTTCCCTTTTATACACACACACACACACACGCACACACACACACACACAAACATACACACATACATACAGCTAAAGCGTTCACCTACCCCTCTAAACCCCATCTTATCGGACGGAGACACTTCCTCCCAAACCTAGCCTCCGCAGGCACTTGGAGGCACTTTACACATATACGTCGTATAGCCCCCCGTAACCAAAACTTCTGGATCCGCCCCTGAAAAGGGTGGTTTTAGATGTGTTATGACTTGCCTTAAATTACTGTTCGGAAACCTCTTTCATATTGTGTCTCCTATTCTGCAAGCGCATTTAAACACAGCATATAAGCCTAGCATGATCATAAAAAGAATTTCGATGGTCATTCATAAGGAAACGGTCAAAAGCCAAACTTAGTCGTCTATCCCAACTTCCAAACATGTATGGTATATGTGGCATATGATTTTAATAAAGACGGTAGGCGCGCCTACTCAACAGTACGTGCCGTAAGTCAGGGGTGTTGCCAAGAGGTAAGAGTTTTCTCACAGCATGCAGTTGTAAACTCGCCACGTAGATAACTTAATGAACGCGTCAGAGGGCGCTTGGCTCGGCTTCGAGGAGAAGTCTCAGAAACTTTACAGTACTTTCTTAAGAATCCACGAAAAATGGCTGGCGTAAAGGAAAGTTTATGTCGAACTCTGATATGTGTATTTATTGTTAACTTATCGATTGTGCAGTTCACGAACTCAACATCTACAGAAACATTTGAAAATTTTGGTGAGTGAAAACATTATGTTTTGACCCAAGATACATTCTTGTTTATAGCCGAAGTATACAGGGAAGTTAGCCGTGCTTACTCGAATCTACTCTCGAAGTCAAACGGCACAGATACCGTGTCAAGCGTGGCTGTGTTGCTTTGGAGGCTAGCCAACCGGGGAGTAGATCGTTCTCATTCATCGTAATAATTTAATCTATTTAATATCTTAAAATTGTTTAATATCTAACTATCTTTCTTGACATTAATTAAAGGCTAATGTTAAAATTATAGTCAGGTTACCAGGTGGTACAGTCGGTACTGTAGGCCTAGCTTACACTACAATACAGCTCTTGGCCTACGTCTGGAGAGAGAGGCTTAGAACTCCATCCATGCTTAGACAGTGACGTGTGTAGAGTCAGGGAGGAGCTGAGGTAGAAATAGCAGAATGCCGTCCGTTTCGGCCGCGATGTTTTTAACCAACAACTCCCTGGTTAACAACCAGGAATTCGGGAACTAAAAGTTGTTTTTGTTCTCATAACACAGTAGGCCTAGACTGTTTTACAAATAAATGGCTTATAATCATCAGTTACCAATACTTATACTTTGTCTCTTGCTAGAGTACTTTTAGCCATCATTGACTTACCAGTTGACTTCACCTAAGTCTAAGTGCCAATTTGACATATAGGAAACATGTTGTTTGGCTTTTAAGGCAATACACATATTATTATAATACTTATCAGTATTATTTATAGGATAATTCATAGTTTTTAATTAATCAAATTGACCGAAACGCAATATTACGCTATAAGAACATCATAATAACGTTAATACAGTTTAGTGTTATGTTAAAAACTTTGCTTTGTAGAATGATAAGTATGTTTTTAACCTAATTTTACAATGTCATAACGTTAAACGTTGCTGCAACCAGGGTTGTAGCTGTAGAAAACTAAGTGTGGAGTGAGGAATTTTAAGGGTGGGTGGGTAATAACATTAGCAGACTCTAAATAATAATGAGTGCATTTTAAGGATGCGTAATAAAGGTGGTTGGAGGAGGGCTATGAAATTAGCTTCAGACTGGGTGGAAATCTTCAAGGCTGGGTAGTGCTGCCCATCTCTGCCCACCATACTGTAAGTACAATCCTGTGCAATGTTGTGTGAATATTATTTTGTGACACCAAACCACAACGTTCGCGAACAATTTTTTTTGTTTGCGCCTGAAATAGTCCTGTTTACCCACAGTAGGCTTTCCTAGACATCAGACAAATGCAAACTTTCAAATTAATACAGCACCTGGCCCGAAACCAGGTGCCAACAGGGGTCAGGGGGATTAAGCCCCCACCGGTATGGTCAATTCAATAGAATACAATAGGCCTACAGTATAAAATACAGCTCTGAGATATGGTTCCTACTGTACACACAATACATTCGTATTTGTTTAATATAAATTATAATTAAATACAGTACATACAAGTTGCACACAGAAGTTGCTAAATGAAAATGCAAGATGCAAAAGTTAATCGAAACTGTCAAATATTTAATTGCAAGGTATATGTATAGGGTGTTATCATAATTTTGATCATAGAACTTTGGGGATGGGGGTTAGAATTTTAGTTACAGTATCCCTAACTTTACTGTATTTTATAAAGCTTTATTTACAGTATATGTTAGTACAGTGTGTATTGTAATAGACAAATAAATAAATGAAATGAACAAAAAATTATCTTTATGTTGATTAATTAATTAATTAAAAAAAATATTGTTATAAACTTTAGGTCTAAGCCTGATACAGTCACTGTGTGATCCAATTTATGTCTGAAACTAATGAATTGTTTATTGTTAAACACTGCGCAATAAAAGTGCTAGGATGTTCTCCAGACTGAATTTTGGGCAGTGAATGGTACCTACAGTGCAGTATTTGGATTGTGGCGGAACAGATTCGCTTGAGGAAGGACATTCCTTCCACGTTAGAACGGTACAATGAGTTACCACAATAAATACAGACAGGCTTTATTTATACCATGATGAAAATTGCACTGAATGTACAGTACTGTATGGTAGCCTTTTAAAATTGACTTTTGTATCGTTTTATTTATTTTGCATTCAGTGACACTAATTTATATTAAAATGATGAAAAAAATACATAAAAATGTATAAAAAGAGAAATAATTATTTGAATGCCCGGATGACCCATTACAGTTAAAGTCTAGCGTTTTGTATGTCAGACTTTACTGTATTTCCAATGGAGTCCAGAAGCCATGGGAATTATTGCACAAAAGGGAATATTTACAGATACTGTAGTGGTTCATGATAAAATCAGGCAAGGTTCGGTATTAAATAATAGGAATAAATAAAAAAATACGTAAAAGCTTAATTACCTTATTTTAGTGTAGTATTTTGGATAAATAGAAAATACCTGTATAATTAAGAAAGGAAAACCTTGATGTTTAAATTAATTAAAAATTTTGTTTTCTACAGTAACATCCGATGTACTGTAATTACCCCATCATGGAAGAGCATTTAAAATGCAACATACAATTGTTAAAATTCATCAAAATCCTTAAAAATTATTGATTTGTTTTAATGCTAAACTTTTCTGACTGTGCATCCATAGAGTCCAGGTTTCAGTTTCACTCTATTGTCATGTAAAGGGTTCACGGTAAGCCTACTGTACATGAAAATTATTGCAATGTTTATAAGACAATAATTACCGCAATATTTGGTTGGTATTGTATGAATGGTCCGTATCGGTATTAGGGTAACGATACTGTAATATTAACGCAATATTACCAGAACCTGTTTTTGTTTCTGTTTGTATACTGCACTAAACCTCAGAATTGAGTAAAACATGCAGGTGCTGCATGGCGCTGTGACATGCAGATTCGTCAAGCAAGAATTCAAAAAGTCTGGGAGGATTCATAATATTTATATCCATAGGATTTATATTATCAATGGAAATAGCACAATTTTAACTAGGCATTAACAATACCTCTGTCTGAAATGGCTTAAAGATGAATTGTCCCTTGCTAAATACCAAAAAAATCATGAAAATATTTTTTGAAATTAACTTGCCCATTTGAAAGTAACATAAAAGTTATCAAATTGAACATAGAAATTAGTGTATTTAAAAAATGTCTACCCATCAGTTTACAGCAAAAGATGATTGAAAAATTTCCAGTGATTATTTTTATTATAATTTTTTGGTTTAAAAATCAGGGTACACATTTTTAAAATTCAATAATTTTTATGCACAAGTTAATAATCTGTACTGTATACTATTGCAATATGAGCAAGTTTATTTCAAAATTATTTTTTCATGATTTTTTTACATTAGCAAGGGACAATACATCTTTAAGATACGCTTGGGCAAACAGTAGCACACCAGCAGCGTATATGATTGCTTATGACAGTGAGGTGTTTGCCACTATCATTGAATACTGTACAATCTACTGGTACATAATTCTGTTGTTTAAAATGAGTACTGTATTCTCACTCACACACAGAAAGATGTGTGCATGCATGCCTCTGAGAATACCGTAAATGCTCGAATAAGCACCACTCTCAAATAAGCGCCGAACCAAACCTGATTTTTTTTATAGCTATGTGTCACTCTCGAATAAGCTCACAGCGCTTAATCGAGAGTATTCATTACTGTACTCTGTGCATAATGAAACACTTTGAGAAACATGGTTTTAAATACAATGCAGGCCTATATACAGTGTATAAATAACAAAATGAAGACATAAGCATTTCTTTATTATAAACGTTTTATTACGTAGGACCTGTGATAGGCCTACTGAAATACAGGAATATGTGAAATAGGTAACTTGGGAATGGACATGGAACGCGCCACGTTGATATGTTTTTTTATAAGCGCCGCTCTAAATTTATAAATAAGCGCCGCACTGAAGCCTACAGTACTGTACAAATATTTTATTAGCACAGTAGCGCTTATAATTTGAGAATTTATGGTAACTTTGAATACACTTGTTAACTGCAAACATCATCTGAACAGAGGGTTTTATGATTTAGAGTATCAGTATATTAATAGTCTGTGGCTGCGTTCAGACCTTAGAGTTACAGTATGCCAGGCGTATCTAACACCGGGCGTACATTAATCCAAGGCGTAACCAGCAAGATGTCCAGATTGGGCGATTATTAACACTGAAATATTCGTAATCGTAATCATTGATGCTTGACTGTCATAACTCAGTGGCGTACAGTACACTAATCTGGTGTCTGTTGGTAGATTATCGTATACCAGTAATTGCCCGTTAATACTGGCATTTGCTGTACCGCACACAAGTTAACACAACTCGATTAACGTTCCGCTAGCGTACTGGAAGCTGATGTGTCTGAACATAGCATATGATTCCAAAACTTTTTCCTACTAAATTGATCAGTAACCATGTTTGCCAAGCATACAGTAATATTATATGGTGGTTTGAATCTTGTATCAAAACCAAACCAGATAACAGATAATTCATGTGCATGGTTCGTTCTTTCAAGGATACACAGAATACTTTTGTTTTTTATTACCAAAAAGAAAAAATTATCTTCATTCAAAAATATGAATACTGTAATTTTTGAGTTTTTATTAATGATTATTAGATGGAGAGGAAAATATCATAATTTTAAGCTATAGTACAATTTCAACAAATAAATAAAGCTATTTTATTTAAAATATTTCATCATAAATATTATTACAGTATTTTCTGGTTTTAATCATTCATTAATCTGAACATTGCAGTACATACCTGAACTGTGTTTAGATTGATATCGCTATAATTGTACAGTAGTTAAATGGACACAATGTTTTAAAAATTACGAGCATTGAAGGCTATTACAATTGTCGTCATGATCAATCATCATCATCATCATCATCATCATCATCATCATTATCATCATTATTATTTAATCATTATCATTTCAGCCGTTGTTGGCCCACTGCAGGCTGAAGGCCTTCCCAAGCTGAAAACATGTTTTTCTGTCCTGTGCAATTCTCAATTAAAATATTGAATTTTATTCATTCACCAGTTCATCGCAAATAGTACTATCCAAATGTTAGTTCTAGTTTTAATCATTTTATAATAATATTGCAGTACAGGACTGAATGGACAAAAAGTCTGGCAGTTCAATTAAGTCTTAAACATTGAAAAATGTAGTTTGAGGCTGTATTTGTTTCTTTTATTTTCAAACATTGTCAGTTTCTAAAATACAAATATATTATGGCCTTAAAATATCATTTAATATAAATTCAGTACTTAGCTATTGGAGTGGCGATTATAGCTTGGTGGTTAAAATGCTTGCCTTTCAGTTGCAGGCTGGGTTCCAATCTTGTGACAGCCCACATGATTTTTTTTTCTTATGACTATAAACACATCTTCACTCCCTAATAAAGCTTTGCGGATAAAACATCACATTAATTCATTTATTTGAGAGGGCCCTTAACATTTGCCAACCTGCTACTGCAGTATAGGATACACTAGAAGAGTCGACCTCTCAGAATATGGTTTAAAAAAAAGAAATGTTTTGGTAATTCAGTTTTGTGTCCATCATTTAGTATTAATATTAAGTATTTGCTAAAAGTTACTTCTACAGTGTTACAGGGTTCCAATCTGGAACAAGTCACTTCTAGGAGATCTGGTAACAACTTTTCTACACCTAGTGTTTATTTTGCTGGCCCTGGTGATAACCATCTGCACTGACTTCTGTGAGACAATTGATTATAAAGTAGTGAAAAGTCGTGATGCAAATGATGAATTTGCGGGAGGTGTGCGTTACTTTTTGGCAAATCTTGCTTGCTTACAGTTTTAGTGCGGGAAGCCGTCCTGAATTCCGGGAGACTCCAGCGACTTCCAGTTCAGCTCAGTTTGTTTCATTCAGATTGCTTACTTAATTATAGTAACAGTTTGTTAATATATACAAATAAGGGTAAAACTTTACTGTAAATTACTTGGTTTTTGTTTTTATTATGCTATTTATCCGTTTGTTGTTTTTGAACTGTCTTTTGCTTTCTTTTGTTTATATTTTATATTGTTAATTTGTGCACTATCAAAGTGATAGGTGCCACTGATCTGAAAGTGAACCCAATAAATTGTTTCGTATCATATTGTATCCAGAAGATTTGGGCCCCATGTAATGCTGTATTCAGGATTTCTTTCAATCCAATCCAAGCCTCACAGAGCATTCTAGTTATACCATAGTTTTTTTTTTTACACTAATTTGCAAAAATATAAACACACCTGGTTTTCTTCCTATTTCTGATCATTGGCTTGAATTCTGTGGTTTAGTACTCTGAACCATTCAACATTATTTTTAAGGACACTCCCATTTTCATTTTCCTGGATGTTTAAAAATGACATTGTTATTTGGATCTGGCCTCCGGAAAGCTTAATATACTTCAGGTAAGTATAAATAACCTCATAAAAATTTTGAATGGTTATGCTGTGTTAATACAGTTTGCAGTTAATCAGACATATTACCAAAAACAATCGCTATTTTTGTGATTGTTTAAATTAATTGAATAAATAGAAAGTCATTAAAACAACCATTTTTTTTAAAATTGTATTAACGAAAATTAAATTTAATGCTAAAATGATATTATTACATTTAAAACTAAAGTTCTGTTCACCCATTAGTTCTTTTAGATGTTTCACATTTCAAGCAAATTGTTTAGACAGTATTGTAATTAGTATTTTACTATGTTTCTTACTTTTGCCCTTTATCTTTGTAATTTGTCATTGTTGTGTGTCTTATTGATTTCAACAGGACTTCTTCGGAAACAAGCAGATATGCTTAAAAGGGTTATCCTGGAATTCTCTGGAATTGTTGTTTATGACTCATTTAATTTTGTACTTTGTTTACTTTTGAAAATTTTTTTAAATAAATCGAATCTAATCAAATCAAATCAAATTTACTGTGCCATTCTGCAGTGGAGCATTTACAGTTCTCCTGAAGAGCAAACAGCTGGGAAGACAATGTTTCTCAACTAACTGAGCCAAGGTTGTGGAACCATTTTACAGTAATTGGTAGTGGAACACATGGAACATACAGTACTTCAAACAAGTGTACATTTGGTTTTCCAAAAAAAGTGTTGAATTACTGTACAGTATCAATGAATATCACACACACTATTTTTCATTTCGTTTTTGACGGTTAAAATAATTGTGTACAGCATTTTGTATAACAATGCAGAGTACACCCGATCCTGTCAAAAGGCTGCCCATTTAAAACTTTTTGAAATCAGTCTGTATAGTAAGTGTATGCTGTATGCTGGCATATTTAGTGTTGTGCGCAGGGATGTGCTCCTTTTCCCCTCCCAAAAAAAAGGTCTCCCCAGCCCTCCCCTACATTGAAAATGTCCAAAGCACAAGAATTGCACTGAAATACTGTAGTTAAAAGATCACTTCATATCACCCCATCTTGCAGCCTACAGTAGCACCCCTCAATCATTGTGTCCACCTCCACGATTGATGTAATATAATTTCAGCCCTCAGCATTCAACATAAAATGTTCACATTATGGTTTCAGTCAGAATGGTGGCCTCCCAGAGTATAGCTGATGCAGCGCTGAGCAATACCTTAATATTATCAAATTATTCTAAAAATTACAGTTAGATTGTTTTTTTTTTCTTTTAGTAAATGAACAAAAAGTTGTCGTCTTTACTGTAGCAACCAATGAAACAGATGGATTTTTGAGGTACTGGAAATCATGTCATCAACATGACATCAAAGTTCAGGTACTGTAACAAATTTTTCATAGAAATGTCACTATTCTCCATCAATTCACATTATTATTTGAAACACTAATATCTTGCTTTTCTATTTAAATCTCCTTGAAATTGATATTTCGTTCATCAAAATTGACCTATCAAAGGTTAGATTAAAAGGTTACCTTTTTTTTAGTATGAATTTACGTTCTTAAAATTTGAATGTCATTTTGACAATGTTGAAGCAGGGAGTTGGTTGAATTTAATATAGACACAGACTGAATTTTTGTTTCCAACAAATGGCCTGTCTATGTCATACATTATCACACACCATCTCAGTGTCAACGATATGTTAAAAAATGACAACTAAAGTCTAGGCCTGTGTATGTTGCCAAATCGCATGCATGCTGGAGACACCACACTCTTAGAAAGCAATTCTTAAGACCACTGGGATGCATGATGTTGGGTTATAAACGTTCGAACGTCACACTCTTTAAGTTTTATGTTGCCTCGGTTTTTGTTTGATCAACCAAGGAAATTTGAAATCTGTCAAAAAAGTAATCCAGCAAAGGGTAGTGGCATAACCACAGATAAAACCTTTGGTGTCTGTGTATCCATTTTTTTTTTATTGCATAAAGTATTTTTAATTTTAAGAGTTTACATAGTAATAAGTAAATAGTTCAGAAATTTTATTATATTTATTTGCTCAACACAATGTAAATATAAATTATTAGTATGATATACAGTATACATTTCTCTAAACCATCCTAATTAGAGGGATTCGGAGATATGTTTGTTTACAGCTGGTCACATGACTTAGGGGTCGTGCAAAAACTATTTTAAAGCAAATGCCGCGTTATCGCCCTGATCACTATCACATCTACCGTGAGTTCGTTAATGAGGCAGATCAATGAAGCATAAGATTGCTACCGCGGTAGGTCATGAATATTTATTAGCTGTCTGCACAGTCTACCCAAATCGGCCGATTGTAGCATAACGCGACTACCGCGATGCGATGGATCATGAGTTTGTACTAGGAGTAACATCTTCTTGGTGTGGGAAACTTTCAGGCAAATTCACACAGCACGAACTCCTGGCTGTGGACTTGATTAAAAACTGGCAGCTAGCCAAATTAACTACTTGTATTTGTCTCTGTGATTCCGACTAGAGTACCTTGTCTTACCTCTACGTCAATGAACTCAGGCAATGCAACAAGAACGTTCTTTTTTAATTTCATATACTGATACACAAGTATTTTTAGGCCTACTTGGTTATGTGTGATTTCCCCCGTAATTTCAGGATGGCCTGTATTTTTTTTTCGCAGCTATGAAATGAGTACCATTTAATTATATACAATGGATAAAAAAGTTTCCATAGAAATCTCTACGGTTACACCCATTGCTTAACAGTGGATAAAAAGCTTCAATAAATGAACCCCGTATTGTTTAATTTTAGCTGAATTTGTTCACCCCCGAAGGCCTATATAGCTTGCCTTATTCATTATACAGCATCACAATTTTATCTAAAGAAGGCGGACGCCAAAATGTTATTGTCGCACATAAGTTTTGGTTTACTACATCTCCGATGCTACACATAAAATAGTAGGCTTACAAATACTAGAGTCAAAGAATATACAGTAGATAGAATTGTAGGACGCTGTACAACGATGAGAATTTTTCCCACTACTAATTCCATTTAGGAGTCTTTTATATTTAGCAGCCGACATTCTTCCAGGCAGTCAATACGCACACGGAGTCGAAAACTACTGATTAGGGCTGATCACGTGAGCGATATCCCTGGCCGGTGAGCAGTATTCTATTTTTAGCAGAGGTGTTCTATTTTTAGGCACTATCTCCTCTCACATTCCGTCGGGAGACACGTCCAAGAAAGAAGTCACTTTATATAAATAAATAATACAGTACTGTATAATAAATAAGGCCTAAATATATAAAGCCTTTAGGCATAAAGTACTACTACTAGGCCTATGAATAATAATTACAGTACTAAAACTACCACGCTACCTATACTACTACATAAGTTGCTAGATTACTACGGTAGTAGTACCCTCCAGCTAAGCCGGCTCTAAGCCTAACTCTAATGGCTGGACTAGGCCCTAGATACTTGATTGTAACTGACTGGTGAAAGTAAAATATAATACAAAAATTGCCGACGTGCTCCATCAACCATTCGTAGGTTCGTACAGAATTTGTCTCATACAGAATTCTTCGTAAACGTAAACAACAAACTTCTACCCCGTGGACGACGTAACGCGAGTGCCGCGGTAAACAGAATGAGTTAGCTATCATGCATATTCATTAGTTATTTCGTTAGCTCGTGAACGGTGAATATTAGGCCACGCCCATATGCCGCGTTAGTGAAAATCAGCGACAAAACAGCCGATAACGCGGTACTCGCGTTAAAATAGTTTTTGCACGACCCCTTAACTAAGGGTGTAAATGAAAAACATTACAGTGTGATAGTATAGGAAAAGATAATGTATGGTTGCGAAAACAACCACTGTTTAATGTAGGAAATAAATGGCTAGGAAAGTTCAAAATAGTGTTTATATTTACTTACTGTATCCTACATTAGCATTCTCCAAAGATTGTGTGGCACTTTGAAATTTAAGTGATCCTTCATAATCTTTAGTTAGCCCTAAGATCGCAGCATGGTTCGCGGGTCAAAGACCATCATGCATACTGTAACTAACCAAGGCGTAGATGTGCAGGGGCCTAGGCCTAATAAAAAAATCTCAATGTTTGCTGCTAGTATCCTTTTACGGTATTAGCAAACCATTAAGAGAAAATTTTGAAGTTTAATTTTCAAACAATTTGTTATACTGTACTGTAGTTTACTAGGAAATGATGATCTTTACAGCAATAAACAAGGGACGGCCGCAATAGCAATCTCCATGAAAAACACTGCTGTGTCAGTCGATTGTTTATCCAACACCCAAGTTAGATCACGTGACGCCCATCGCCGAATCTCTCTATTGCACTGGCTGTACTCTGTGAATATTACCCACTTTAGTCTGATCATCTCCACTGGGCTATGTTGCCAGATTGAATGATAATAGTCCTATGGTTCATTAAGCCTACAGTTATGAAGTAATATGTGTAATAATGATATTAAGGCTGGGTCCAATCTCAACATTGAACTGGGTAGAGCATAAAGTTAATTTACTATAGGTGAGAGCTATGATCTAGAGAATTGATTTTGGATTATAATAATGGAGCTATATGTAGTAGTATAACTAATGGCATCTCCCAACTCTATTCTATGAACGTGATTGACGCCATTACGAAAGCGATTGGTGGCAATGACGCCATTACAAACGATTGTTTCTAACTTCCATAACACTTAAAATTGCAGTAAAAAATCTTGGATAAAATGTTAACCAGCCAAGAAAATGTTTAAAGAAAATAAATCGACAAAACTTTCTTTGCATAAAATATAAATTGTATTGTTTTCAGCCGAAATATTAGACTTGCCACAAGTCTCTTATTTGTTATTATTTTTCTCATTCTGGACAGTGCCACCAACGAGAAAGTTAATTTAGAGATAGACGGAATAAGCGACTTGTACTGTAAAACACTGAACTCAGGCACCAGGATGCCAAAAGAATGACTTAATCTTATATTCCGTATTTGGATTAATGGGCGGACCGAAATAAACAATTTCAACCAATCAAATGTCTATATTTTTGGAGCCACGAAACTGAATCACTCGCGTCGACTAATTAGGCATGACTAAATTTAAATAGTCCTCCCTAATAAAACGGGCCTAAAATATTTAGAATAGAAATTTAGTAAGACTATTTTTGGCAATGGCAAAAACAATTAAGATTAGACTAGATGGCATACCATACAAATACAACAAAACTTTAACTTTCCAGGAAGATGGCTCAGGCCTCGTCTGGATGGAGTCAGGAGTAGTAGGCCTAGCCTAGACTAGTAGTAGAGGCTTGGCGTATTTTTAAGTTCTTACTTACAGAGGCCTACCTTTTTAACAATATTCTACCCTAAAGGCCTAAATCTGTAGCAGCTAGCGGTGAGCAAGGTTCCTAAGTATAGCCTACGGTTATCAGTCCATGTCGTTCTCAGCAGGCCAGAACTATTATACTAACTGTTTTAATTCAAGTAGGTAGCCAAAAGGGAGCTGGAGCTTATTCTAGTCGAGACATCTGCATCTTCAATTTTTGAAAATTTACAAAGATTGATTAATATCCATAAAGTGCCAATCACGTGATTTATAAAATCAGTCATGCATACGATATCCCACATCAAATTTGATGTGGGAAATTGCACGCATGAATCGTTTGTCCAGGCCCTAATTCGAAAAAATAGAAATCGAGTATGGGACGCCAATGAAATTAAGTATGGTGCACATTAAGTGCAATAAAGAGTGAGTAACCTAAAATTAGGGCCTGGAACCCAGGCTACCGAAATATATTCTAATCAAGACAGAGGCTTTTATCGTTGCAAGTATAAATAAGCCTTTACAGATGATTGGGCCTAAAGAGGATCAGGCCCTGGGCGATCAGGCCCATTTTCAAGGCGATCGGGCCCAATTTGAATGTGGGCCTGATTGTCTTAATTATGGAACCGATAGCCTTGAAATGGGCCTGATCATCCTGGGCCCGATCGTTTCATAGGCCCAATCATCTATAGGCAAAAATCATTTCATGATTGATTGATTGAAAAAAATGACATTATCCTGGAAAATGAGATGCTCTCTATATACCGAAATAATTTATATTAAAATAAATAGATGATTGTTTTAATTGTTAGTCTTTATAGGTATATTTTTAAATAATGAAATTACATCACAATATTGAATCAGAATAAAAGTGGGCCTTATAGTCTACACGTGGACCCAATTGTCTTGGCATGGACCTGATCATCTGGAAATGCGCCTGATCATCTGGGCCGATTGTCTTGTGGACCTGATCGTCTGTCACCAATACATCCACATAGTACTATCATAAGGCGAGAGTTTTTTATATCTTGTTTAGCAAACCCGCCAACTGC